TCCACCATCTCCTCATCCTCACTCTCAGACTCGCTGTCGTACTCTCCAGCAGCCGTTCTTAGCTCTTCCTCTTTTTCTAACTCTTCCAATTTCTTTAAAAATAGAGTTAAATAATTAAACAACATTGACAATGAGAAACCCCTGAGCAGGTGTGCACGGCAGTGGGTGCAACACGCTGGAGGACACACGTTGCCACGGCCCAGGCCCAGCTGGGCCCCGTGTGCAGAGCTCGTCTCTCAGCACCGGCCGTGAGGAAGCGAGACCATGTGAGCGCCAGCCGGCGGCAGGGCAATAACTGCTCCGAGCTGCTTCCCTCTCTTCTTAAAACAAACTCTGAGGCCGAAAACCTGCAGACGCCACCTCTCCCGTCCTACAACGCTCTCAGCAGATGCACGGAGTAAACTCAGTTCTGCCAGAGCCTGAATTTGAACAACATCCATTTATCCACTCAAATATCATCCCCAACGCAACCCACACTGGACGCAATGTCAATAAGGCAAAAATAAAAGTTGGTAATATGTGCGTGTGTATCAAACCCTAAGAGACCAACCGAGACAGGAGCCCAACAGGCAGACGTGTTAGGTGAGGCCCCCGTAGGCCTCTGCGGCAGGACTCGGGGGAGCTGCACGGGCACAGCCAGAGCTGCACAAGGGGAGCGGCGGGACTCCTCAGCCGGGGATGTGGAGGGCAGGGCAGGAGGGCAGCCGCTGGGCAAGCAGGGAGGCAGTGAGGGCGGCGGCTGGACGCCGGGGGACAAGCACGCTCAGAAGCGGCTGACAGAGCAGTGGGCGCGAGGGTAGCCCACGCTGACCGCCACTCCGCAGGGCATGAGGGAGTCAGGACGCTGCCGCCAGCCCAACCTCAAGCGGAAACGTGTCTGAGACGCGGTGTGAGGGGTCATAGAGACGGGACTGAAAACACGGAGTGAACGAGGGAGGGCATCTGGGAATCGGGTGGACACGCGAAGACACGCAGATTGCAAACACCACACAGCATTTTGCCAAACAGCTCGACTGGGGAAAGGAAGACAGGACAGCAGCTGAAGGAGGGCAGAGGGTGTGAGAAAGTGCTTGTTTTTTAGATGAGAAAAACATGACATTTATATGCCCAGAAAAAGCAAGTAGGAAGGGGTCTGAGGCGGGAGGGAGACGTCGGTCACAGAGCAGAGGTGGCGGGAGGGAGGCGCGAGGCAGGGCCAGGCCCCTCAGTGCCACGGGATTGGAGGGGGTGTCGCACGGAGCCCAGGACGGAGCCCGGGCAGGAGCAGGGGAGCCAGTCGGCCCTCGCCCTCCAGTAGTAGCGTTAAAAAAGGAAAACACGTAATTTAAAAAGCAACACAAACCTTCATGATGGCTGGATCGATATAATCAGCTACATTATGGCCTTCCCAAATCTCCGGTATCTTATCGTACTTTTCAGAAGAATCCATTAAATCCC